AGGTTCAAATCCTGTTGGTGTCGTTTTTTTCGCATTTGCGCTTCTTTTTTGCCGTTTATCTCGGTTGGCTGTGTCGGCTGAGGTGGGGACATGCTTTATAGCATCAAACGACGGGGAAGTTGAGAGTAAGAGGAAAGTGTCGCATACGAGGATGGTATTGAATTAGCAGAAGGGAAAGGAGTATGCGATGAGCATCAATTTGCGCACCGAAAAAGGTAAGCCAGAAAAGGGGTTCAAAAATGCCATTCTTTAGCCGGCACAGAGAGAGACTCTCGGCACGGCTGCAGGTGGAAATTCAGGGCCGCCGACGCGCCGAAGACGAGGTCGGGTATCGGGGCGGGCTGTGTTGTTTTGTGTTGGTTGTTGCCTTCGATTCGCGCTCGACTCAGCCGACAGACGGAGTGACGGAGCGAGGAGCGAGGAGCGCAGCTGCTGCTGGACCGTGCCATCCTGGCAGCCACCCTTCACTCGAATCTGGATACGCGGCTCTCCGACTTGAACCCTGAGTCGAATCCACCCATCCTCGCCTGCTTCCGATCCACCACAACGTGCGTCATTCGCCAGCATCATCGATCGCAGCCATCTCAAAATAGCGGCACGGACCTGTTCGGACAACAAGACCCCACGCCCGAGCCACATCCGCGGCACCAACCTCCTTTCAAGATGTTCCTCTTCGACGCAGTCGTCTTTCTCATAGCCATCACGCTCTCCATCGGCCTCTCGGTGCTCATCTCCCAGCCCTTCAACGGCGCCATCGTCCGTCTCCGTGCAAACTACCTCCCCAAGGCCGTCAGCCTCGACAACGTCCTCGAAGATGGCGCAGCCACCTCGGCATCCGCGCCTCGCGCTCTCTCCTCATTCCTCCTCTCCGAACGTCGCTCCACCGCAAAGATCGGCCCCGTCGTCCCCGGCGTCTTCTCCATGATGTTCCGCACAAAGCGCCTCGAGGGCTGGGCCGGCATCTACAAGGGCTCCATCCCCGTCGCCATCCAGATCTTCACCCTCAGCACACTCACCTTCATCTTCTTCTCCGGTGCTTCCGCCTCCTCCCCCGGCAGCGCATACAAGGCCGGTCCGGCCGGCCCTGGCCAGTTTGGCTTCTTTGCCAACCTCTTCTACATGCTCTTCGTCGCCATGGCCGCGCTTCCGCTCAACGTCATCACCGACCGGTACGTTGCCAGCCGCCATACCGATTTGAAAACAAGGCGCACTGACATTCCGCTTCGTCTTCTCCCAGAACCATCGTGCACCCGCGCGTCTTGCCTATCCACTCGCCGCGCGAGAACCTCCGCGAGCTGCTCTCGTACACCGAGTTCACCCAGCCCTGGCGTCTCTACCTCCTGCCCGGTCTTCTCGCCGCCAACGTGCTCCACGTAGCCTGGATCGGCCTCGCCACGCGCATCGTCCGTCAGCTCACCGTGCCCTCGCTCGGCGGCCTCCCCGGCGCCACCCCCGTCGCGCCGGACCAGGACACCTACTCGGGACCCAACTCCAACATGCTCGAGCTCAGCCCCGTCGGCCTGCCCATCTTTGTCCTCTGGAACGTGCTCAGCGTCATCATCCTCTCGCCGCTCGAGTGCGCCATCATTCGCCTCTCCACACAGCGTCCAGAGCGCCAGAACCCGCTCCACCGCGCCTACGCACGCGTACCGAACGGATCCAACGCCACCGGTCCTTCGCCTTACTCGCACCAGGCCACTGCCGCCGCTCAGGCGCAGCCAGGCGGCTCCTACAAGGATTCCGACCCCGCGCGCAAGTCGTCCGACAGCACCTCGGCTAATGCAGACAAGCCACTTCCCTCGTCGCCTGGCGAGCTGCCGGGTCGTCCCTCCTTCGCCATCGAAGACGACGATGACGATGACGCCGACAACGCTTCGCCGGCTGCCAAGCCTTCCGCCAACGGCAAAGCGCCCAACAGCAGCAAGGCCGCACGTGTGCTCGGCCAGACCGACGAGCCTGCCGCACGCTCCAACAGTGCAGCAGGCGGCTTCAACCCGGGCTACACGTCACCCTCGTTCTCGGGCGGCGAGCCTCCCGAGCCCGTCATCGCGCTGCGCCCCATCGAGGAGCAGACCGCCGAAGAGGCCGCCGCCGAGTTTGGCGCGCCCGTCGTCACGCGCTACACCGGCCTCGTCGACTGCCTCAACAAGATGGTCGACGAAGAGGGCATCGAGAGCCTCGGCAGGGGCGCCTGGGTCACCCTCCTCGCCATGTTTGCCGGCTCGTTCAGTTGAACACCCAGCCCACTGCAAACGCACCGTCGCTGCGTTCTCAATCAGATCACTCTGGAAGCTCCTTTTCATTCTTCGTTCCGAGGCTCGGGTGGCCGCAATGCGGGGTGTTGTCTTTGCGTGTGTGTGCGAGTTGCATTGCGAGATTACTGGATGAACGAGGGGGAGGAGTCAGTGTGGTACAAGGCGAGTTGGTACTCGAGCGCAAGCGAGGTGCGGTGCAGGGCGTCCTTTGCGAGCGTGCGCAGGATGACGTCGGCGCGGTTGTCGCGGATCCTTGCATTGGCTTGGTCCAGACGCGTTACGATGGTGCGCACCTCCTGCACGCGGCCTTCATCCAGCGTTGGATTCACGCTGGCATACGCAGCAAGGGCAAGAGAGAGCGCTCGTGGTAGAGAGGCGCTGCTGCGTTGGCCAAGGGGGTCGGATTTGGTGGGCGTGCGTGCGTCGTGCGTGAAGGTGCACAGGTGAACCGGCAGATCGCGCAGAACGAGCGCAAGGAGATGGACGGCTGCAATCAGACGGCTTAGGTCCGCATCGCTGTCGTCGGCGTTGGAAGAGGCCACGTGGAAGGGCGACTTGGGGTCATTCGCATCCACCGCGCGAGAAAGAAGGTGGAGGTCGAGGGACCATGCTTCGAAACGCGCTCGTCGCCAGTACGCACTGTCGCGCCGCAGACGCGCGGCGGCCGCATCCGCTTCCCCCTCTGCTTCGATCGGGTCCGACGACGGTACTGCGTCTGGCTCGGCCACCGGGACCACCGCATCGACCTTTGCAGGCGATGCCAGATGCTCGGTCAATACACACCATCCTAGCCACGCACGGAGCGCCTGAACACCCCGCCCTGCGCCCGGCAACGCTTGCACCACGCGCGCCCTCACCACCACCGACTCTGGCTCGAGCGCGGTAAACAAGCGCCGGGCTACGGCCTCCTGCAGCTCCTCCAACACCGCCGTTTCCGCCGCTGCCGCAAATATCACCTCCATGCCTTGTCCCATAGCCGCGTCCAGCGCCACACTGGTGCCCGCCGCACATGCTAGCGCCATACTTGCCACCCAGCCGGCGAGCAGCGACACTCCGTCGCGCACCGTGCTGCTGTTCGCCTGCACCACCAGCTGCACCACGCGCGCAAGGTGCGCCAGCAGCTCGTCGCATTCCGCATGCGTGAGGTAGAGCGCCGAACGCGGTGCCCGCCGCGCCTGCTCGACCTTGGCGGTCTGCGACGACGATGGCGCTCGGTCGTGCATGCGTGGCCTCGCGCGCGTCACGACAAAGAATGGGCCGTCGGTCGCATCGGCGTCGTCGGGAAAGCACTCGACCAGCACGCTCTCGCTCACGCCGATGCGGTGCAGTACGCGCGGCACGAGTGCGAGCACGTCACCCGCCGCCTGGGCCACTGCGCCCAGCAGCTCGTTGCGGTACGCCGACTGGTCCGGCTGCAGCACGAGCGACTCGAGCAGCCCAAACGCCAGCTGGCTCTGCAGCACATCGCGCTCCAGCAGACACGTCACTGCGGTCCACGTCACAATGCGCGCCAGCTCGGCCGGTCGCACTTGCAGCGACGGCGGGATTGCACAGGCTAACAGGATGTGCGGATACGTGGCCGTCCAGATGCGCTCGCGCGTTGTGCTGGCTGTGTCGGCTACTTCGTCAGCCACGCCCAAGTTCGGCACCTCGCAAAACGCCTCGATGACCGGAGCCACCGTCTTGCCCGGGCGGTAGAAGGGAATGCGCCCGCCGTGCGGGTCGGCAGGGCGGAACGCCTCGTCGCGCATGTCGCGCTGCAGAATGTCGAGCGCCTCGCGGCTCTGATCCTCGTCGGCACCAACGGCGGCGAGCGAAGCAGCCAATCGCTTCTTTTGGATGTCGGGTGCGGGTGTTGCTGCCGAAGGGCGCTTATCCTCGTCTTCCGAGTCGCCTAGCTCGGATTGTGAGGACCACACAAAGGAAGGAATCGTCGGAGAGAGCGCCTGCACTGTCGGTTCCGGCGCATGCCCGTTTGTCCTGGAGCCAGAAGGACCAGCCTGGCGCGACGGCTCCAAGGACGCCGACGACTTTGGTCTGGATGAGGATGTGCCCGTCTTGGAGGCGCCCGGGACGCGAATGTCTGTGAGCTCTTCGTCGTCGGAGTACGCGATGCCCATGCGACCCAGTCGTTCCTGCTCCATGCTGCGGGCGATGGCCTCTGCGCGCGAGAAGCCGTCTGCGTCGATGCCGCGTTTGATCTTGCGCTGTCGTTCGCGCAGCATACCGTCTACGCTCGCGTACCTCCTTGACGACGAGGCATGGTGCGCCACGGAGCCTGCAAGCGCGTCCGGATGTCGGTGCAGGCGTGACGCATCGTCGGTCGGATCGATGCTGTAGGTGGCGGGACGCTTGAGTGCCGCCTGACGCTTAGAGCGGCCGAGCGTGAGAGAGCCGAGCGCATCGTCATCGTCGTCGTCATCGATCGCGAGTGCGGCCGAGGAAGTTGCGGGTTTGCGGCCCGCAGATGCGGATGTCGAGGCCTGCTCGCTGAGCTTCTGCTGCGCCTTTAGGCGGAGCTGCTCGCGAAGAGTCAAAGGGCAAGAGACGGCTGCCTCGGTACCGGCCTCCGACATGATGTGCGACTGGACAAAGGGAGGAGTTCGCTCGTCGCACCACGAAGCAAAGGGTCGTGGTGGAGCAGCGGCAAGGTGAGAGCAACACTCGAACAGGGTCTTGACATACGCGCACAGGCCAAACTTGCGGAAACAACAACCATTTTTTTTTGGGATTTAAGACTTTTTTTCTGGGTGGAGAGACATGTGAAGCTGCCGAAGAACCTCGGGCGTGTGCGACTAGAGTGCTCAAACTTCATGCTTGGTAGTCAGGATCGGCTCCTGAGAAGAGGTCTCTTCGGTCTCCTCGCTGTCGCCTTGAACTTCGCCCGTGGGATCCTCCTGCACTTGTGCTTCGATCCTATCGATCATCTCCAGCTCGGCTTCCGTGAAAGGGTCGGAGACGTCGTTGAGTTGGACGTTGGGAAACCTCTGGTGTGCAAAGCGCAAGCCGGCAGCGGCTTCCATGAGGTACTGATTGGGCGAAGAAAGACGAGACCACTTTGCGGTGGCGTTTGGGCCGATGATATGGTCAGGCGCTTTGACGTGCGAGATACTCTGCAGAAGGTTCATGAAGTAGCTCGCATCGTGAACACTTCTCTCCTCTAGCGCGTGGATCTGCATGAGGGTTTGGAGACGCAGCGTCTGATGAATTGCGACACCAAGCTCGTTGTTCAGACGCAGCTGCTCGAGGAGGCTCCAGTTGAGCAGGGTCGAGGTCTGGTGAGTAAGCGAAGGCAGCGTACGGTCAACCGTTTCGCGCACGGTCTGGTGCTGCAAGTTCGCCGATGGCCTCGGATCCTCAGCCGCGCTTGGCGTGCTCGTGGAGGGACCTGAAAGAAACATGGCCATCAACTCGATTGTGTCAGTCGTCGAGCGCAAGCGGTCTTGTGGCGATCAATGTCGAGAACTTACCGGGCTCTTCCTCCTTCGGAATCTTCTGGTCAGTGGGCTCGAAGTCAAACCCGACTGCGGATTGCTTGCCACTGCTCGTCGACGAGCCGAGAGTAGCCCTCTTGGCCAGCTTCTTGCCGGAATTTGACTTGCGTTTAGCCATCTCGAAAGTATCGTCAGAAGAAGAAAAGGAGGGTAGACGATGGATGAATGTGAGTGTGCTTGCACGCATCGGAGGGCACTTTAAGTACCTTTCGTGTCTGTCCCGAGCGAAGTTGCATCTTACAGCGGAAACTCGGCTTGGTCTTCACAGTTCGTCGCTGCAAGTACCTGGCAGCATTGGAGCACGGACTTGACCTGTGACTAAGTTCGAGGAGTTCAGCTCGGTTAAAGACACATTCTTCACAGCTCAGCCGCAGTCAGAGTTAGGGGGGGGGGGGCGTTGCGCAGGCGTCGCA